AGGGTCCGATTTTTTAATACAGTGCACACTGAGTGTTATGACCCATTCTATGCTGACAACACATCTCAGGTCAATCGTGCCATATTTGAAGGCAGGAAAAATAAAGCTTTTATATACTTTTGGGGCATTAGCGGTAAGAATGTGTATAGTATACGTTTGGACGTTTACGAGTTGAATCATTTACCTAGTGGTTTGTAACAAAAAACTGACAATTCTGAAAAGTGACTTTGTCCATTGTCTGGATTTTATCTATTACATCTTATAACTGGCCATCTCTCACAGAGGACAGGGTGAGAGAGAGTTTTTCTTTTTACATGTAATAGTAATTTTTGCAGGAGAAAGATTGCTAGTCCCTTGCTCATGGCATTTTAGTTCCTCTTATGACATACATGGCTTACAGTGGAAGGATTCTTTTCGCTTCTCCATGGAGAATTCACTGTGTTTATATTTATTTATTCAGATGTACAGAGTGAAACTGCTTTACCCCTCTCCTTCGTGATGCCCGTTGTGAGTACGAAGTGCTGCCAAGTGGTCACGATGAGGGCAAAGAGATGGGCCATGTTCCTCCCCAGCACCAGACCAGCATTGTCCCATTTGCCTCTTCCCTTATGAATGGACTAGATCATTGTTTGTCAGACATGGGAGCTTTCATGGGGCGGTCCTTCAGGGTGGGCTGGGGCCCTGGCTGGCAATTGGTACATGCAGGCCCACAACTTGCTTCAACTGCTATTGAAGAGTACAATGATGATGTGGGCTCAACAGTAGCAATGAAGACTTCATTTTCACCTGCTTGTTTCTTGTTCCTGGGCTCTCTTGCTTCCCAGCCTAAAACTGCTCAAAATGCAGAGTCTCCTAGGTAAGGAAATCTTATATTCATCAATTAATGATAAAATAATGAATGTAATTTAGCTTGCTGAATATATGACCATAGGAAGTCATTAACTAATAATATGTGTAGGAAGAGGAGGTAATTTTGTATTTAACACTTCAATAGTTAGTTACTTTTATGTTTGCAGATACAATTTGTTGATAGAAAAGCTGCATACAGTCCCTCCACAATCTCGAACCATTCATGTAAGTAATTTTTATTTATTTTTTTGCAGTTAAATAGATCAGTGTATGTTTTATTTGTTCCCCTCTGTTTTTTTTTTTATCTGTAACATTCAAACCTATGTGTCTTCCAGTACTTTCAAATTTTAGCTTTATAGTGGAGTTGGGTAAGAGATAGGAACTAGATAATATGATCTATTTCACACAGGTATCTGATTGGTAATGTATACAGTATGCATAACAAAGGGATCCTAAATTAGAAAAAAACATGTAGTATGGTGTGTAAAATCTTTGAGTGCATTTTAAAAACAGCTGAGTCCCTTTTCAGCATAGTGTCTTATTTTGGATATTTTTAGAGGTCTTTTAGGTTAAATGTAGCATTATATGAATAACCTGCTTGTAGGAGAATGAAACTCATGATGAATGGACCAAGTCAGATCGAAATGTCTGTCGTAAGTGTCTTTCTCCTATGTGTTGGTATTTGTGTATTGTTCCAGCACGGTATTATGCTGCCTTATTTTTCTAAATATAACTAATGGCGAGCTTTAAAGCGGGCATTTTACATTTGTCTTTCTACTCACTCGTTGACTTGCTGCCCTAATCGCCAAGCACAAAGAGTGGAGGCATGGTGTAGTTCATGGCTTCATGTAGTCATTTGTTTTAAATGATCCCAGTAGTGAAAGTTGGTGTATCAGATACTAGTAGGTATGTAAATAAGACTTGTATAGTTACAAGATATTTATATATATATATACATACAATTATATAATATATATATATATATATATATACATATATATATACATATTATATATATATACAGTGGACCCCCGCATAGCGAACGACTTGCATAGCGAACAATCCGCATAGCGAACGCTTTGTTTCGCCAAAATTTTGCCCAGCATAGTGGACATAAACCCGCTCAGCGACCTTCGTCCGAGAGCGTCCATTGGTTTTACAGCCAGCCTCCGCAAGGTAACATTCAAGCATACACTCGCGAAATTTTCGTATGATTACAGTGTTTTCGGGTGGCTGTTTCTGGAAATTAAGTGACCATGGGCCCCAAGGGAAAGCTTTTGTGCCAACCCCTGTGGTAAAAGGGTGAGATTTAGTATGGAAATTAAGAAAGATTTTGAAGGGTTTGGGGACTAACCCTGAGAAGCTATGCCAGTTGTGAATCCATTGTGCCTACTTCAAAAATTAAGGAATGTGTGAACAGTGGGTTGAATGCAAACCTTTATGGATGAAATCCCCATGACACAGCTGTTGCAACCGTGTGGGGACTTTTTCAATGGACAATGTTATGGCCCATTTTAGACAAAGCGTAAAGGAACGGGAGTGTACAGAGCTCTGGGACTGATTTGTTGTGCGACAGAGGTCCTGGACTCTGAAGTGGTACTAGTGGCATTTAAAAGAAGAAGGGAAGTAACCCGGAAAAGGACTTGCTACACAAGTCCTATGGGAAGGGGATTCCCCTTCTAAAACACTACACTCTCATCTCCCTCCTCCCATCCCATCATCATCACAGATTTCAATAAAGTAAGTGTCATTATAATTGTGCATGCCTTTTTCAGTTTGTGTGTGTACTGAAAATTAACATTTTTTTGTGGTAAAAAAAATTTTTTTTTCTATACTTTTGGGTGTATTGCCGGTTTTAATTTATTTCCATTATTTTCTTATGGCGGAATAGTTAATTCGCATAGCGAACATTTCGCATAACGACAGACCTCTTGCACGGATTAAGTCGCTTGCGGGGGTCCACTGTTTATATATAATATATATATATATCCTATATATATCTAAATATATATATATATATATTTTATATATTATATATATATATATATATATATTTATATATATTTATATATATATATTATATATATATTATTATATATATATATATATTTAATATTATATATATTATATATATATATTTATATATTTATATATATACTATATTATATATATTTATAGATATATATATATATATATATATATTATTTTAATTCTAGGTTTTTCTCCTTTTCTAAATAGCTCTTGTTCTTTTTTATTTTCTTCTATGTCCCTTGGGAAGTGTAAAGAATCTTTCCTCGCGTAAGCAATGCGTGTCGTATGAGGCGACCTAAAATGCGGGAGCTATGGGCTAGTAAACCTTCTCCTGTATACAATTACTAAAAAGAGAAGAAGAAAACTTTATAAAACTGGGTTGCTTAAATGTGTCGTGGATGTAGTGCGGATGACATGAAACAGATGATTGCTGATGTATGAATGAAAAGGAGTTGATGTCCTGGCCCCTAAGCAAAAACATCAAGCTGAAGGGGGTAGGAGACAGTTTCAGTGGGGGAAATAAATGGGATTTAATCTGGAGTATTGAGAGAGTTAGCGCTAGGAAGGGTAGCAAGTAATGTTAAATGATCTGTTATGGAAAAGGAGAAAAGAGAATATGATGTGAGTAAATTCAAGAATTATGTGGTTAAGAATAAAGTTGGATGCGAGAGTGGGCATAAGAAGCGTTTATGCACCTGGAGAAGAGAGGAATGCAGAGGGAGGGAGAGGATTTTGGGAGATGTTAAGTGAATGTATATGGGCCTTTGAACCAAGTGAAAAGAGTAATTGTTGGTAGGGGACTTGAATGCTAAAGTTGGAGTAACTTTTAGAGAGGGTGTGGTAGGTAAGTTTGCGGTGCCAGGTGTTAAATGATAAAGGGAAGCCTTTTGATTGAAACTTTGTATTGAAGGGGTTTAGTTATAGGTAATAACATATTTTAAGAAAAAAGCAGGATAAATAAGTTTACACGATATGATGTTGGGCGAAATGACAGTAGTTTGTTGGATTATGTATTGGTAGATTAAAGACTGTTGAGTAGACTTCAGGATGTACATGTTTATAGAGGGCCACAGATAATATCAGTTCACTTTCTAGTTGGAGCTACACTGGAGTAAAAGGTAGATGGATACATAGGAGAATAGAAGCATCAGGGAAGGAGAGAGGTGAAGTTTATAAACTAAGAGGAGGCGGTTAGGTAAGATTTAATAACTAGCTATTGGAGGATTAGATGGGCTAAATGAGAGATATGCCAATGGGGTCGAAGAGAGGTATGGGGTAGGTTTAAAAATGAGTGTTAGAGTGTTCAGCAGAAGTTTGTGGTTACAGGAAAGTGGTGTGCTGGTGGGAAGAGGAAGCGATTGGTGGAATGATGATGTAAAGCGAGAGTTAGGGAGAAAAAGTTAGCATATGAGAAGTTTTTACAAAGTAGAAGTGAGCAAGAAAAGGAAGAGTATTGGTAGGAAAAAGAGAGAAGTTAGAGAGTGGTGAGCAATGTAAAAAGAGAGCCAAATGAGAGAGTGGGGTGAGTATGTATCAACAATTTTGTTGAAAATAAGAAAAAAGTTTGGAGTGTGATTAACATGTTAAGAAGCCTAGAGAACAAATGGATTTGTCAGTTAAAAATAGGAGAGGAGAGTTATTAAATGGAGAGTTAGAGGTATTGGGAAGATGGAGGGAATATTTTGTGGAATTGTTTAAATGTGGATGAAGATAGGGAAAGCTGTGATTTCGTGTATAGGGCAAAGGAGGGGAATTACTTCTTGCAGGAGTGAGGAAGAAAAGCCAGTTGTGAGTGTGGGGAAATTCGTGAGGCGTAGGTAAAATGAAACGGGGGTAGGCAGCCGGGATGGATAGGATAAGATAGAAATGTTTTTAAAGAGGTGGGGATATAGTTTTGGACAGTGGTTGGTGCAATATTTAATAAATGTATGGAGAGGGTAACGGTACTAGGGATTGGCAGAGGAGCATGCATAGTTCCTTTGTATAAAGGCAAAGGGATAAAAGAGAGTGCAAAAAATTATAGGGGGATAAGTTGTGAGTGTACCTGGTAAAAGTGTATGGTATGTTATAATGAAAGAATTAAGTGAAGAGGAGAATAGGATTGCGCAGATGAACAAGGAGGCTTTAGAAAGGTTGGGGCGTTGTGTGGACAGGGGTTTACAGTGCAACATATAAGTGAACAGTATTTAGATAAGGCTAAAGGAGGTCTTTGTGGCATTATGGATTTGAAAAGGGTATGGACTGGCGTGGATAACGGGGAGGCAATGTGGCAGATGTTGCAAGTGTATGGTGTAGGAGGTAGGTTACTGAAAGCAGTGAAGAGTTTTTTCGAGGATAGTGAGGCTCAGTTTTGCAGTATGTAGGAAAGAGTGAAATTTTTTCCCAGTAAAAGTAGGCCTAAGACAGGATGTGTGATGTCACCAGTGGTTGTTTAATATATTTATAGATGGGGTTGTAAGAGAAGTAAAGTGCGAGGTTATTGGCTAGAGGCGTGGAGTTAAAAGAATAAAGGCAATCACAACAAAGTGGAGTTGTTCACAGCTGCTCTTTGCTGATGGAACTGTGCTCTTGGGAGATCTGAAGAGAAGTTGCGAGATTGGTAGGATGAATTTGGGGAAGGGTGTGCAAAGAAGAAAATAAGGTGAATACAGGAAAAGAGTTAAGGTTTATGAGGATAAACAAAAAGATTAGGTGATGTAAAGATTGAATATCAGAATGGAGGGAGAGTGTATGGAGGGAGGTGAACGTATTCAGATATTTGGGAGTGGACGTGTCAGCGGATGGGTCTATGGAAAGATGAGGTGAAGCAGTAGAATTGATGAGGGGAAAAGTGTGAGTGGCTGCAACTTAGGTGTCTGTGGGAGCAAAGAACTTTGTCCTTGGAGCAAAGAGGGGAATTGTATGTGAGTATAGTTTTACCAACGCTCTTATATGGGGTGTGAAGCGTGGATGTGATGAATGTTGCAGCAAGGAGAAGCTGGAGGCAGTGGAGATGTCATGTCTGAGGGCAATGTGTGGTGTGAATTCTAATGCAGAGAATTCGTAGTTTAGGAAGTTAGGTGGAGGTGCGGGATTACAAAATGTTGTCCAGAGGGGCTGAGGAAGGGGTGTTGAGGTGGTTCGGACATGTTGAGTGAATGGAGCGAAACAGAATGTCCTTTCATGAGTGAATCAGTATGTAGTGGGGAAGGAAG